TGCGCGATTGGGATTGCATGTCCGACTCCCGCGAGCGTCGCATGTCCCCGGTGTTTGCGACCAGTCCATGTGCTCGCTTTTGCTGCGCCTTCATTGTTCATAGGGCTGCATGTCATGCCCCGCGTGGGCGAGTGCATGAAGGTTGTTTATGTGTCTTTAAGTCTCCAGGAACACCCCATTTGACTCCTGCTTATTCCCTGCGATTCAAATTGGGAGGTACTTGGTAAATCTCTGGATGGAACTAATCCGTTATGAAGCTTGGGCCACGCGGTAACATGGGCCTGCGCGCGCCGCAGTCTCTCCTAGCCCACCCGAGTTCGATTGTTCTCCTGTGGGTACTAGGCTACCTCCGTTGATGCACGCCGTGCTCGCGTTCTCCTCGGATCGCACCGCGCCTACTTTAACCTCGCCAGCCTGGCGCGAACACCCTGCCCGACGCGCATCGCCTCATGTGCGTAATTGGTCCTGCGAGCGTGGCGAGGCATGCCGTATCTCCGATTAATTCCACGCGTCGCTGTTGCTCTCGTCTTGGTTTCTACCTCTTCTCCAGCGGCCGCCTGTTTCATGCCGCGCTGGCACGCGCCCCCCCCCCCCCCCCCCCAATGTTTCTGCCCCTGGTTTTCAAACAACTCCATCGCAACAACGAAGCGCGTCGCTCCGTGTTCTATCATATCATTGACTTTGGCAGCTCCTAGAATTGTAATGTTGGACGTTTAGTATGGTAGAAGCTGAGCGCATCAGGCTCGCATGGAGTAGGTGCACGGCTCTACCCTCGAAGATGTTCTTTACCTTCTCCTCAGATCTTCGACGATGGAGCGCCCCATGGGCCACCGCGTCCGTCGCGGAGGTCAGGCCACAGCTATTCCAGGAACGAGCCCCATCTTGTCAGCAGCGGATGTTACCCTCGAAAGTGATGGCGCTTCACCCACGCACTTGAACTGGTTGCTGACCATTCCCGCGCAACCACGCCCCCTTCTGAACGATTTCCGTCCAGCGACAACAGGGCACGGGCCCGCGCGTTCTTCCCGCGCGAGGGGCTGCCCGGGATCCGGGGGTGGTGAACCAAGGGGCGGATGCCCCCGCCCTTCTCCGCGTTCCAGGCGGACGCAGCCTGGCGGCGCCACGGGCGACCCGCCCCCCCCACCCCCCCCAGCGTCTGCGCCAGTGCGGGCGGCCTGGCGGGCCCGCGGAAGTCCTGCAGCCTCTTCGCCACCGACTTCGCGTCCAACGCGGCGAGCATGCAACAGACATCGAAGCCCGCCGCCGAACCTGCAATGGCCAGCTCGACGCCCTCCGCCGCGCCGGAGAGCCGCGCGAGTCATGGGCCATGGCGCGCACCTCCTCCGCGGGCGCCACCGGGGTCGCCGCGGGCACGGGCACGGTCGCCGCGGGCGGAGGGGCGGCGGTCTGGCGGGGCGGCTCCGCCGGCGCCCCGTCCGATCACATGCCCGATCACCACCTCAAGTGAACCAAACATGTGGTTACCCTGTCCCATTCCATTCATCTTCCGGTCCTCTTCGTCTCCTGGCGTTCTGGACTTGTCTGCGGGGAATCGCGCGGTTCCATTGCCCCGCTCGTCTCATCTGGCGCGCTCGCAACGACCGTCGCTGTCGGCGGCGGCGCGCTCGGCCGCCGCGACATTTTAACGTCGCGCATTCCTTCCTTCACCCCCATCGGTCTTGCTTCCCCGCGCCACTCAAGTTCGTCTCCACTTGCATTGAATTCCCCGACGCCGCAATTATTTGCACGACTTAACCTCTGCTCTCCGAGCTTGCCTTGCTTTCCCGCCAGATGCGCTCGCAGTCGGGCGTCGGTCAGTTCGCATAACTTTGGGTTCAACGAAGTCGGCTGGCTTTGCTAGTCCGAAGCGCCCATGCGTCGAGTAATTCAAGAGTCGTATTTATGTTGTTCGCGCGTTGGTCTTCCGCTGCGCTGACGCGGGGCCCCGGTCCGAACCTGGCCGACGCTGACATTTGGTTCTGGCTACTCGGGCCCCGACGCGTTAGCCATTCCACTAAGCGCACTCGAAATCCGGCGCTTCGCGACACGCGCTCAGCGCCGCCCCTCGCCAGCGCATCATAGCGGGCGGGAATGGAAGCACAGAGCAGTGATCTTTCAACCGAAACTCCTCGGGCCACTGTCGGCTTCGCGCCGGCGATCTTTCCTGCGCCCGCTTCCATCGCGATTACTGATGTGACTTCGCGCCCTGCGGCGCTCGGGCACCGCTGCCGCGGCGCCCCCGCTCACGTCGGTAACATCCACGACGTTCCGCTTGTCCCCCTCATTGTTTGCGACAGTTCCATGTGCCGCGCTGCAGGGTTCCCTGACTTCGGAAGGCCTCGCGAGGCCGAGCTGGGAAACGCTCCCCGACGGTCGGGGGCGCCGCTGCGCCGTGCGTTCCTGAGTCCGGAGTCGCGGCGACAATCGCAGACGCCGCATCTGCACCTTCCGCGGGCGCTGCGTTAACCCTTGGAACGTCGCCCGGGGCCCCAGGATCTAAGCGTCCCAGCGACAGAGCCCCGAACACATGTTCGCGCGCGCATGTGTCCTGAATGACTGTCGCTCGCGCCCGCGCGCCTCTGCTGCCCCGCGCTGATGGGTCCGCTCGCAGAATCCCGGGGGGGCCCGGGGCGCGTCGACTCCGTGACGTCCAAATATCAGTTGGCCTCGCGAGAAGCCTGGGCATTCGGCCGCGCCCCCTTGACTCTCCACCCCTTTCTGTCTCGCCATTCGGTTCGACTTCGCGCGCGTCATCTTCTCGATGCACTTGGCCGCTGCGCGGCAGTTCTCCCAGCTTCTGCGGCGCTCCTTGTCCGCCATGGGAACGGCCCCCTGTTCGACCTGCCCTGGCCACTTCCACCCCTCCCATTTCCCGCCCACCAGACGCATTGCCCGCGCGCCATCTCCTTCCCCGCCCCCCCTCTCTGCAACCCCCCTTGCCTTTGCCTCGCTTGATGGGGCTCCGTCTTCAGTTGACTGCGACGCGGCGAAAATGGCCGCGCGCCTGGCCTCTGGGCCCCCCTCATCCTGCCCCCGCGCCTCTGTCCGTCAGAGGCGCCCGCGCCTCCTTCGTCGCCGGGGCGCCCCCCGCGCGCCCAGCCTGAGTCAGGCCGCCAGCAACCTCCCCCAGCAATGGCTGCCTCTGCACTTTCCCATGAGTCGAAGTTTCTCTCGCATGCGCCGCGCGACTCCGATCCCAAAAGCACTGCGATTTATCGCGTCGGCGCGTAACCAGTCCTCCGCGGCGTAGCCTTCGAATCTGACGCCGGAGCTCCTGATGGTGCACTTGCGTTCGCGAGTCCGGGGTTTCGAAGCAGCCCTGATTCCAGCCCTCAAACTAATCCCCCGCGCGGGACACTATGATCCGAAATGCGGTAACCCAGAATGGGATGCGTAGTGAATGTGGTGGTCCGTGCTATTCCGACGTTTCGACCAATGCAATGCATTGCTCTACCTCGCTGGCAGCGTCGCCGATATTATTGGGCTTGTCTGGGGCCATTGCCTGGCTCATCTTGGCTGATAGGGTGAGCCGCGTTACAACTAACAGACACTCGTCTATTTTCTGGTACGCCTGCAGCAAACCACATTTGCGAAAACCTGTGGATCTGCCTCTGGGCTCCACTCCGCCCAAAGTCTCATTCAGTGTGCGCCGCAGACCTTCATCAGCCTGGTGTATCCGTCCTTCGCTTATTTAAACTTCTCCATCGTTATCGTCGCCACCACTCTTTGACTGAATCGCACTGGCGTGTTCCTCTACAGCGAACCTTCAATTCATAATTCTGGCCATGTCAGAATCATGTTCGTTGTGCAACGTTTCGTCCCTGTCTCTAGTTTACCACTCAGGTTCTCGAATGTTCTTCGGTACTTGGTTCTGCCTTGTGCGCGCGTGTTCTTATTGTTGCCATTGCGCCGTCGGGGTGAAGTACTGTTTCCCCCAAACGTCTTCAGCTGCTGCATAACTTTACATTGAGTACGTGGCTCGTGCCCACATCTTCTGGGGCGACTCTTATTTTCTACGATGGAATCCGTTATAATGATCACTTGTTCCATGGCATTATGTTAAACATGCTCGATTCTCTAAGTGCTCAAGTATTGTCAGCCGTTTGTCTATTTCAACCTCGGCATACGTGCTTCGATTGACCATGCTCAGCGGTCGTGAATCCATATTTTCGGTCACGACTCTTGACCCATGATTCTGTTCATCCGTGACGGCTCTTACCGCGCTGCTCTCTGCCGTTCGGTGACCTCCCTCATGCCCTCATGGTTGGTTCGGAATGCCACTTCCATGCAACTGTAGCCCACAACGTAAAAAACTGTTTTGCATAACTTCGTGAAGCGCGCCAGGTTTCGTTTGAACCGCTGGCCCCTGTCCTGAAACGCATTGAATTCTGGCATCGAATTGCCTGCTGCGGCTGGAGCGGCGCCTGAGGTTGCTGCGGCTGCCACCAACTTCGATCCGATATCATGTAAACCCTGGAGATGGAAGTGCACGGGAACGACCTGTTGTTATCCAGAGGGCAAGAAGGCGCACGCTCCAGTGGTTGAGTACTTGAGCCAACCAGCGTCGTCAACGACGGCCGCTCGACCCCCACGCTCAGATGTGCAGTCGTAGCACCATGTTCTAACATTTCCGCATATTGTCCCTTCTGTTCCTCCTCGTTGTCCTCCCCCTTCTCCTCCTCCTCCGTCTCCGTCCTTCGCCCTCAACGCGGGCCACAGGGATGGCCCGAAGAGGCCCTCAAAAACCACCCCCTTGTTCCCAGAGATCTCTCTCTGTTTACCCTGGTTGCCCGCTTTGTTTCACTGTACATATGTGTCCCTTCGTCCCTTTCCCTGTCAACTCTCATTGGCAGGGTTTTCGAATGGGCTGGTGGGGGCACGCGAAGCGTGAATAACAAAGGATGATGATGCGTGGAAAGGGTGAAGGCGAATGAGCAGGGATAACGGAAAACAAATCACACAATCAGAGGATGATGGTGAGGATGAAGCGGGGAAGATGCCTTCTCGTTGGTCCTGTGTTCCTCCTGCTTGCTCAACCGGTACGCGATGCCATCCGTAGTAGCCTTCAGCGCGGAGTTGTCCACAAGGAAGGCCTCCGCTGCAAGATGGGGAAGGGGGAGGCAAGGTAGGAAGAGATGGAGGCGGAAGATACGAGGGGGAACCCGTGCCCTGAACGTGTTGCCAGCCAGATACGCTTCTCGCACTCTGTTGCCAAATTTAGAAACCATGGCTGGACACCATACTGTCGAGGACGCTGCACATGTTGTGATGGGTGCGGCGTCCACGCCTCTCTCCCCCCAGGGCACTGAATACTTCCTGGAACTGTCGTCGTCAGCCCTGCTCACACCACTTCCACTGCCGACCGAAACGCTCCTCGTGCTGGCGGTTTTCGTGCTAGATATCTGGTATCACGCATCTGCATCTGCCAGTGTATTGTGTTTCCGCCGTGGCATCTCAAGGTCGAGAAGGGCGATGTGCGACAGGGGAGACATGCGAGCATGTGCGGGCACCAAAGTTTGCAAGCCGTGGGGGCCTCGTAAAACAGTGGTCATCTGGCCGCTGCGCGCACCACGATCCTTGATCTATACATCGGCGGTGGACAAACGTCCCAATAGTAAACCTCCCTTGAAAGAAAACGGCCTGGGAGGGAAACCGACGGACCTGGACTCGCAAAAACGACGGCCGCGACGCCCTCTCGCGAACCGACAACGGCCAATTTACTGATCGACGCGTCAGGGTAGGAGGTCGATCAACCTCCGAATGCATGCGCACGATGTAGAAAAACAGGCTAAACATCATGTGCACTCCGATTGTCCATGAAGTGCCTGCACTCTAGGGTTGTAAGGTTCGCTGCCCTGTCTTGTCTAGAAGTCTGCTAGCTCTCTAGAACGTCTCCATATCATCTCCACAACCGTCCTCCTCGGCGCCCCTGTGACTGTCTGTGCATCGTGAGGTGCATCGTGAGATACCCGTCGAGACGAGGGGATGGGCGCAGGGATGATACGGGGGACGATGGGGATCTGGCCATCGCTCGGACGTCCATTCCCTGTGTTTTTTTCCGGTTTCGTGCGTGGATTTTTCGCCAAATGATCAAGGATGCTCCTCGATGGTCCTCGCCGAAGAAAAAAAATGCACACGTCCGAGCGATGCCAGGGGATGGGCGCGAGGACGCCAAGGGGGGACAATTCGGGGACGCCGCGCGGAGGCCACCACGCTGGCAGCGAAGCTTGCAACTCCAGGGTCCCTGCTTGCGCGCGAGGGACACGGTGCCTGGCGCGCCGGCCGGCCGCGCTCGGAGCCCCACGGCAGGCCCCCCCACGACGGCCGTGGTCGCCAGCGCGCGCGTCCAACCGCATGCGCAGATTCGGTCGGGCCTGGGAGAGAGTGGGCGAGGCGAGGCGAGCGCGCGGTTCCGTCGGGAGCGGGGCCCTCGAGGGCCTGCGCGGGGGGGGCCGAGGCCCTCGGTGTTTGTAGTCCTTGTTTGCCGAGGCCGGGGTGCTGAGTTATGAGCTGGTGGACGCCGGAGGTCAAGTGGTGCAGGTGGAAGTGGAGAGTCGGAAGCCGGATGCTGGAGTCGGAGGGCTGGGTGGTCGGCAGGTGGAAGTGGAGGTGGAAAGTCGGATGCTGGAGGGTGGAGGTCGGCCTGGGAAAGAATAACATCCTTCAAGAACACGAACCCCTCCGCCAGCCCAAACAGAGGAACCTTCGAGGGTGCCCTCCCCTAGGATGCACAAGAACATCCAACAAACACGAAGAACACAAGGGCACCCTCCCCGAACCGACCTCGATCTTATACCTCGGTCCGACTGCAGGGCTGTGGTCGCCCGCGCGTGCTTCCAATCTCATGTGCAAATAGCTGCTGAGCATGTAGGTGGCCACATGTGAACCCTACTCCCAACCCGCCCATGATTTCTGAGGGGGGGGTGGAGGTTCACTTCGTTCGGGAAATCCCTAGCGGAGTGACCCCCACCCCCTCAGAAATCGTGGGGGGGGTAGGGGTATGGTTCACATGTGGCTACCGAGCATTGGAGGCGGCCACTGGGTCTGAATTGGTTGGGACCCTGGAAAATTCGCTGACCCTTCGGCGTGTGAGCGACGCTGTCGTCGTCGTCGTCGTCGTCGTCGTCGTCGTCGTCGTCACTCCCCAAGACTTACATCGATTCCCTTCCTTTTATCTCTTCCTTGCCTCTCGCCGGGTCAAGGGGGGGAGCCGCCAGAGGGGGTCCCGGGCGAGGTCCCAGGCGAAGTCCCGCCTTCAGGGTCGGCGGCACCGGCCCGCAAAAGGCCTTCGCAACTGGTCAATCGGATGAGGCGAACGTCTCCTGACACCTGCCAGGGTCCATCTGGTGCAGTTCTTCACCCCCCAGACCCGTTTTCCATGGTCCGAGGGCCCGAACACGGCCTCTGGAGGCCCCCCCCCAAAAGAGCACCTTCCCGAACCCAGAACCTCGAACCTACCCCCATGGCTGGAACCAGTGCTCGGCCACCTCGAACCCCCAGCCAGATCCAACCCCCAATCTCATGTGACAGTACGTGCTGGGAGTGCCCCTCGTTCGTCGTCCTCACTCTCCTCCTCCTCCTCCTCCTCCTCCTCCTCCTCCTCCCCCTCCTCCTCCTCCTCCCCCCTCCTCCTCCGTCTCCTCCTCCTCCTCCTCCTCCTCCTCCTCCTCCTCCTCCTCCCTCCTCCTCCTCCTCCTCGTCCTCCTCCCCCTCCTCCTCCTCCTCTCCTCCTCTCCTCCTCCTCCTCTCCTCTCCTCTCCTCCTCCTCCTCCTCCACCTCCTCCTCCTCCACCTCCTCCTCCTCCTCCTCCTCCTCATCCCCCCCGTCCGCGACGTTTGCACTTGCGCAGCGTCGTGCGGAACGGCTGGGAACGCAAGGCCCCGCCTGCGGCAGCAGCTGGATCTGCTTGGCGGCCCGCGCGGCCAGCTCCGCGCTGTGGCGGTCCTGAGCCTCTTGCCACCTGCGCGCTTCTCGGGGGAACGCTGAGGATGATGCTACAGATCGGATGCACACAAGAGTGGACCTGGGCAACACTGGCCGTGCACGGCTTTCGGGGGCCGCCGAGGAGCTGGTCTATGGCATCCCCCTGGCGCCCACACACGAGATGGGGGAAAACCCACTGACATAATCGTAAACGCTCGGAGGGCCTCGTGGATTCCTCGGATCGGCGCTGGGGCCCCTGGCGCACGGAGCGCCCCAGGGAGGGGGTCCAGCGCCGATCCGAAAAGTCTGCGCGGACCCCAGAGCTTGTTATGCTGATGTCGTTGTTTGTTCCCCATACATCGGGGGCGGCGCCATGGGGATGCCACAAATCGGCTGAACGCAAGCAAGCATGGCACTGGGCAAGAATAGCCTTCGGTCCGCGACTCTCGCCCACCCTGGCGAAGGACAGCTCTTACGTTCATCCGAGACAGAGGGCCGAGAAAGAGGGGATTGGCGGCGAGCCTCCTTGAGGGGTCACGTCCTTTTTAGAAGGCTCGGACGGCCTCGGGCCTGCTGACAAGTCTTCTGATCCTGCTCCGGGGAAGGACAGCGACGGCTTCTCAGACGGCGGGAGGGTTCCACAGAGGCCCCGCCGCCTTCTGAGAAGGCCTGCCCCCGCTCACTTCGCCCCCGGGCGTGCCGCCGAGGTAGTGTGAAAACCGATGGGTTCCTATAGTGGATCTGTCCCCTGCTCACCCTCTTATCGTGCTCTTCCCCCTCCGTTCCTCCTCTCGCCTACTCCTGCTGGCTCGGCTCGAGCCAGCTTGAGAGCAGTTTGGCATACGAACGCGCGTGCCCTCGCGCAATTGAGCGTGATGCCACGGTGCAAGGACTGCACGTGCATGGGTGATTATCGGGGCGCGCGCTGCGCCACGTGCGGACGCGACTACCTGGAGATGGCAAAGGACACGGGCCAGGAGGTTGAGGAGGCAGGCTGCACACGAGCGTTTGAGGCGGTCGTCGCCACGAAATCGCCCGGCGGCGAGTCGAGCGAAGGATGCGAAGTTCAGGAAGTACGATGGTACCCTGGATTCAGCCTGCAGAAGCACGGTCTCCGGCGACGCCTACGCCAACAGGATCGAGGCACTTTGCAAGCATCTGGGGATCGACAAGCATATCCAGAAAGAGCCCCAGCTTGCCGTTTTCCGGCTCGGGAACGCCGGCGTCGGTCTTCGGGGTTGACGCCTACCTGACCTTCTCGATCATCATGGACTCCGTGCTGCAGCTGCTATCGGCAAGGACGCGCTCAGAGGAATGGGCGCCAGCATCAAGTTCGCGGAGGACTCGTTCAAATCGGATGAGCTCGGCATCGCGCCGAAGCGCCTGCTCGAGACGGATACCAGAGGATGACCGCAACGACGACGACTGGGATATGCCCGACGGCGAGATCGACGTTTCCGGCACGGAAATGCGGGAGCGCCAGGACTGCAATGCCAGGGCGCTCAAGACCTCGAAGGAGACAGCCACGCGAACTCGGGAAGACTGCCGATGTCGAGCCTTGGAAGGAGAGCCGAAGGAGTGGAGCGCGGAGGAGCGATGGGAGCTGTAGCGGCGGCAAAACGACCCGCTGCCCCCTCGCCCCCCCCCTCCTAGAGCGACCTGGGTGCGCAAACAATTCGATGCATGTGAGGATTCCCCTGTGGTTTTCCACAGTTCCTGGCTGGCCCTCTTGCCATACATGCCCCATGCCTTCCTCGCATGCGGTCCTGGATGGTCCGTTTCCCGTGCGCGGCCATCGTGTCCCCGCTGGCCCCCGATGCCAGCGTGGATGTGTCTCTGCTTCCTTCCCCTCCTGGCGCCCTTCCCCCGAGGCCGTCGCGCCCTCGCCACGGGGAATGCCCCGCGCCGGCCGGCGCGCGGCACGCGGGGCAGCTCGACGCCGGCGGCGCGCATCGGCGGGGGACGCCCAGGCAGAGCAAGGCCCCCGGGGGGGAGCTCCGGCAAACGGCTGCGCGGCGTGCGGCGCGGCGCGGCAGCCGACCCGCTCGGCGCGCACCCGGGGGGAGGGTCGAGGAGGCGGGCCTCCTCTCAGCGAGCGGCGGGGCTTCTCGGCGCTGCGGGCCCCCTCAGGGGCCGCCTCTGCCTGCGGAGACGGCCCCGCGGGCTTCTCGGGGGGCCAGGGGGCCTCCCGACCAGCGCTCGGACGTCCATTCCCCGTGCATTGTTCGGTGTCGTGCGTGTGTTTTTTCCCGGCTCGATGATCAAGGATGCTCCTCGATGGTCCTCGCCGAGAAAAAGATTTTTTTTGATTCGCGGGTCGAGAGCGCACCTCTTCCGGTCGAAGGGGGTGGAAAAGGGGGGGCGCAACCTCAGAACGAGGCCGGGAGGAGGCAAAGCCTCGGGATCAGGCGGTGCCGTCGTCGACGTACTTGCAAAGGCGCGCCTTTTCCAGGAACCCGGTGGCGAAGTACCGGCAGAAGCAAAATGCTGTGGCTGGTGCTGCCGCCAACGGCTCCTCAATTACACCCCGCCGAGAGAAGCCAAGCGATGCCGGGGAGAAGCAGGCACACGTCCGAGGTCACGCCAGGCGATGCAGGGGAGAAGCCAAGCGATGCCGGGGAGAAGCCAAGCGATGCCGGGGAGAAGCCAAGCGATGCCGGGGAGAAGCCAAGCCGAGAGAAGCAGGCACACGTCCGAGCGATGCCAAGGGGAAGGCCCGCCCCCCTTGCCGCTCCCCCCTGGGGCTCGCCGCCGACCGCCTGCACTTCCCCCCCGCACCTGGGGGGCGCGGTCACGGCCCCCACTGAGGCGGCCGCCATCGGGGACGCCTCGATCGACGCGCCTCGCGGACAAGGCGCCCGCGCGCACGGAGGAGCCGGCACGGGCGCACCCCCGGGGGAAGCACCAGCAGTCTCGTCGCGCGACGATCGCGTTTTCGCCTGGATGCGCTTCGACGCGCTCGCTTCCCTGGCCGAGCGCGCTGGGAAGCCAGAGTTGACCCGGCTGCTGCAGTCGCCAGACACCGACGGCTCGGAAGCAGCGCGCCCCCGAGCTCGGGCGCCAAATCTTGGGGCTGCACTTTGGCCTCGGATTTCC